ATCCATCCATCCATCCATCCATCCATCCATCCATCCATCCATCCATCCATCCATCCATCCAGTAGAAGAAACACAGATAAGTATTAGGACAGCACCTACATTTTCTCCAAGGACTTCCTAATCAGAATATCCATGGTAAAAGGTATTTATTTGGTAAATACACTTGATAAATATAAGAATATTATTAAGAAGTATACAAAAGTACAACAGTACAATTTCTTCCTACCGGAAATAAAGGATTCATGAACAAATCTATTTAAGTACTACAATTTCTAAGAAAATATTGAGAATTCTCAAAATATTGGAACTTTACATACTTAAGTAACTATAAAACCATATTCCAAAATCAAACACAAGTTTATTATCAAAACTTTTAAAACTATCCAAGTCATTGCTACCCACAGGTCACAAGTTCCAGTAAAGTCCCTTTGCCAAGTCAGGTATATTTAGACATAGTGCCTCCTACCTTTCCTTGCTGGTTTATGCATGCCAACATGGATAGCCCTGATGACTTACTTACCTGCCCCTTTAGTTGCTTGATGGACTGCTGAAGAGTGAGTATCTGGTTAAAGAGAGGACTCTTTAGTGTTTCATAAAACATAGACAGCTTCTCATTCTGTGATGTGTCGCCCTTTTCTTGTAATTTACTTTTCAGGCGCTCAAGAACTTGCAAGACCTGAAGTTTATCTTTGTTGGAAGAGAACGGAGCAGAAGTTAGAACCAATCTCATCTTCTATTTTTGAAACAATGCAGGGCTAGAAGTACGTAACTAGGATACCTGTAGACGGATTTTCTGGCATTTTGAATTATTTCTTTTCAATCACTTTTAAAGAAACCTAAAGAAAAATTGAAAAATACAAAAGGTAAATTTCCATTCATATATATACATGTCTACAAATCTGGAGAAAAATTAAAGAAAACCTGTAACATGGCTAAAACTAGAAAGCAAAATGACAGACAATACTGGATGTTGACAAAGATTCAAAGCAACTGCCAATCCCACACTGCTAAGGAGGAATGTAAAACACACAACCACTTTGGAAAATTGTTTGCCTGTTTCTTACACACCTACTATATAATGGCAGCACTTCCACACCTAAGTATTTACCCCAAAGAAATTAAAGTATTTGCCTACAAAGAAACCTTTCTTAAATGTTCACTGCACTTTTTTTTTAAAGTGTCTCCACAGTTTGATTTTCACTGCATTTTCACTTATAAAAGTCCAGAGCGAGGGCCCTCCCTGGTGGCGCTGTGGGTTAAAGCACAGTACTAAGAAGCTAAAGCCACTTCAGCGTGAGTTCCATCCCTGCCCTGCAGGTGACCTACTTGGTGTGGCAGACATTTCCTGACCTGCCCACTGCTCCCCTCAGCGGTGTACTTCATCAATCGGACTGTTCTGCTCCCCTTTCTGTCTCTGGTGAATCCTCCACTGCCCCTGCACCTCTGGCCTGTACCCCAGTTCTGTATGCATAAATAAATCTTAAAAAAAAAAAAAGTCCAGAACTAGAAAAACCTAAAAGTCAAATAACAATTGAAGGGATAAACCACCTATAATATATAAACAGAATACTCAGAAATAAAAAGGAAAAAAGTTATTGATACAGCATGGCTGAATCTCAAAAACAGAATGCTAAGGAGAAAAAAATAAACAGGCAGAAAGAGATATAAACTGTACAATAAATTCCTATGACTTTCAGTCCTATAACATTCATTCCTATGACAATGCCTGGTTAGGGTGGAAGATTGCCTACAGGGAAAAGTTTTGAGGGAGTTTCTGGGGTGATGGAAATGTGTTCTAAGATTCAAAAGGGGCTCTATTTACTCATATGTTTACATTTGCGGAAATTCATTCAATTATGTGTTAATTTAAAATCAGTATTTTATTGGATATAGTTAATAAAGCTGATTTTTTTTTAATTAAAAAAAAAGGGGGGGGACTGGGTCCTTCCCTAGTGGCCTATGGGTTAAATCTCAGACTACCATTGCTAAGTCCCACCAAGAAGGCCTGAATTTGAGCTCCAATCAGGAGCTAACCCACATGGCACAGTCTTGCCCACTGCTCCCCTCAGCGGTATATTTCGTTGATCTGCCTGTTCTGCTCCCCATTCTGTCTCTGGCGAATCCTGTCATCCACCTATACCTCTGGCCTTATCCCAAGTCTATGTAAAACTAAATAAAATCTTCTAAGATAAATAAATAAATAAGGACCCTAAACTGGAAAAGAATATCCAGATAAAAGGATCAAGATTTAAGAGAAATTAGTCAAAAAACTCCCCAACCTCCACAAATGATCCCAGACTCTTACTAGTCATCTGAGAGCCTCCAAAGGGTAACCATGATATGTGACATTTTCTATGGAGAATGTTGTTCCATAAATTTTCCACTGCAATGTAATCAAAATTCAGAAAGCTAGCAATACCCTTTGCTATGACCAAAATGGTACTTTCACGGTGGTCATTTTTACAAACAGCACACTGTTGTAACAAGTGATCAAAAAAGAAAAGAGTATTATTCAGTCAAAATTTTCCTATATCAAACTTGCATACAGTGACTGAATGAGTTCTCAATATTCTAATACAAGATCATTAAGCACACAAGGATATTACAAATCAATAAGGAACTCCATTGGCATCAATAAAAGGTCCATGTTTCCTATCCAAACATGCACTGGATTTAACAAGAGCCACCAAAATTACTGCTGAATAGATTCCCAGAAACACTTCCAATGTGTTCAGATCCCAAGTCTGCATCCTTTGCAACTACACACTGACAGGTAACTGAAAAGGGGGCAGACACAATGGCACTGTCCTTTCCTAAAGTACTTTCTGTAACAGTTCAAATGGCAGTTTTGTGGTCACTGATTGATCTCCCTCTTTAAATCACAAAATACATACTGAAACTATTAGATACTATCTTTGCCAGGTGGGCAGTTTTTCTTAAATTAATAATAGCCTGAACTCTAGGGCCTCCCGGTGGTACAGGAGTTAAAGTCTCAGTGCTATCACCACCAGCCACTGCAGTCTGAGTTTGATCCCTGGCCAGGGAGCTGACCCACATGGCACGGCAGACCTCTCCTGCCTACCCTACTGCTCCCAAGCAGTCTATTTAAGTGGATCAGTCTGTTCTGTTCCCTACTCTGTCTCTGGTGAATCCTCTCAGCCCTCCTCAGACCTCTGGCCTACACTCTACTTATTGTATGTATAATAAATAAATCTTTAAAGAAAGTATCCTAGGCCCTCTCTGGTGGAGCAGCAGGTTAAAGCAGTTCTAAGAAGCTAAAGCCACTTCAACATGAGTTCAATCCCCGCCTGCCCCAGAGGTGACCACATGGCGTAGTAGACCTCTCCTGACCCACCCGCTGCTCCCCTCAGCAGTGTACTTCCTCGATCTGCCTGATCTGCTCCCCACTCTATCTCTGGTAAATCTTCTCACTGCCCCTGCACCTCTGACCTATACCCCAGTTCTATATGCAAAAGTAAATAAATCTTAAAAAAAAAAAAAAAAAGCCTGTACTTTGTATGTCATAAATAAAACAGGTGGGACTACATACGTGCACAATTTTTTGGAGAGAAACTTTGCAATATCTATCAGTAACATTAAATTTACATTCTTTTATCTGGAATATCTACTTATTAGTATCACTCCTAAAGAAAATCTGTAAAAGAACATACAGGTATGTAAACAAGTACCATAACTGCTCTGTTTTAAATAAAGAGACTCTTGGAAAAATTGAACTCTCTAAAGCAATCTGAATGTGCTAAAAGGGGAATGGGAAAATGGTTAACAGCAAATTGTGTAGCTCACTCTGCTCAACTAGGGACTTTGAATGTGACAGCAGACACCCCTGCAAACAAACTAAATTTTTAATAGATAAAATTCCCTTTTTTTAATGTCATGAAATACCTGATCTGTTGATTACTTTTTGCAAATATCTAAAAGCATATTGATTTACAGGGCAAGGTTGGCTGAAAGATGGGAAATAATCAAACAGGTATTTTCTACTTGTACAACTAATGTGGCATAAAATGGTGGATTCCCTATATACAAAATGCTTCTTTGAGAATAATGTTTCTGCATATATAATTCATAACTGAACTGAAAACAAAACAAAAAATGAGTTCTATGGCTGAATTTTACTTCTGTAAACAAATTAAAAATTGTAGTAAAGATCTATCTGAAGTACATTTATAAATGACTCATTGTCAACCTCTATGTAACTGGCTATTTTAAGCATGTTGATACGTCATTATGTGGAAGAAAGTGATATTCTTTGAAAGCTGAATCTACTGACTGGGGTCTCTTCTGTAAAGGATCATCTGTATCTCACTACCGTCTGTAACCTCTGAATCATAAGCAAGCTTTGGTGCTAAGTAAGGTGTCTCATTCACATGAGACTGCTTTGATATTTCAATGCTTTAATCAGGGACATTATCTAACATACGTAACTGAGTAAGAAAAATATGAAGCTCCAGGATATGTGCTTTTTAAAATTTCTATAAGAATAAATACACATATTTGGTGGCTTTCCAGATTTAGAAGAATAGTCAAATTAATGGTAGTGATTACTTCCAGAAAGCAGAAGTGGGGATGGAAAGAGGAAAAAAATTGTACTTTTACTTTCCAAATTTTAGTGCTGTTGAACTTTAAGCTATTGATTTTAAAATTCAAATAAATGGGACAAAAATATAATAGTTCAGATGGTTTTAGTGAAGCAAGACAAAGTCAAGATGACAACACAGTAGGATAATTATAAAGCACATACATATAATAACAGCAGATGTGCATACCGGTGCTAAGAGAAATCCTAAAGGGATAGTGACTAATCCTTCCTTCAACCGAAGGAAGTTTGGAATATGGGCATGAGGCCACATAAGAAACCTCTACTGGGAAAGAAAAAGAATGGGGTGAATAAGTAGAGTGATTCTATGTCCTCACTGGCTGAAGATAGTCTCAAATATCTGATTCCTTACAGGCAGCAGGCAGTGCTCCATCTCACTCTCAAATATGTTCCAATCTGAACCACATACAGAATTACCTTTGCTCTATGGTTCTCAAATTTTAGCATGTATCTGAATCACCCAGAGTGCCTGTTGAAACACAAAATGGCTGGGATTCACCCCCAGGGTTTCTGAGTCTGCATTTCTAACTAGTTCCCCAGTGATCCTGTCACTGCTAGCCTAGAGATCACAATCTGGAAAACTGAGACTTTCAGTGCAAATAAGAGTGTATGACTTACTGGAAGAATGGTTGATCTCTAAATGACCTGATGTAAGTTCTCTGAAAGTAGCATAAAGGGTTAAAAAAAAAAAGTCATTAAGACGAGTTTTCTGGCAAGTAAAAATTGATGCGTGGTCCACAAAGATGTAAGGACAGACATTGAGTATAGCATTTAGGAAACTTCTTGCAGAGTGGCAAAATAATGCATATCTATTAAATTTAGCAGTTTTAAAACACTAAACTTATATTTTTTCCTAATTTCATTTCCCCGGTAATTTATTGTATGAAAATATCACTCCTAAAAGGTGGGGGATGTGGGAGAGAGGAGAAAGCAGGGAAAGGCGATTCTCATCTGTTATCACTGATAGTTTAAGAAGCACTGGTTTAGACAGACTACTTTGAGAGAGTCCTTGTAAATAATGCTAAGTAGACTGGTCTTTATCCTGTAGGCAACAGGAAGTCATTAAAGGCTTTTAAGTAGGGAAGTATTGAGTCCAGATTTCTATTTAAAAAGGTAATTCTGGTAATAGGATAGATTATGGTGTTCAAACTTTTTAAACATACATTCCCATCAGTAAAAATATGTTCACCACATTTACCTCAATCTATTCATTATAATTATAAACACATACTACCATATTAACTTGTCATATTCATTAAAACATATATAAAATAGAAACTTTGTGAAAGGATAGTAAAAACTAAAAAGCAAACACGTCATCGTCTTATCTTCCCCAGGGATCATCCTGCACATTTTGGAAACCATGCTGGTAGAGTATTCCTTGGTGAGGTTAAGGGAGAAATTGGCCATCCAAACCTCTGACTCATACTTATTAAAAGCTAAACTATGTTCCACAAAGCAGGGCTGGAAAATAACTACAATGCCATGATGTTAGGTAATATCTACAGAGGGAACTAAAGCCTTAACAGTAAATGAGGAATGAAGGAAAAAATGCAAGGAACTATATAGTAGGACATCTTACAAACAGCCTCGGACTACATGGAAACTAAACCTCACTTATTTTATGGTTACAGGAAAGCTCAAAAACTTTGATCTATTTATTCAGGCTAAAAAACTAACAGGACTTACAACAGAAATTTCAAGTTTGTGGATCTCCCTAGTGGCACAGCGGTTTAAGTGTCACCACTATAAAGTTATCCTCAGCCACTGTAAGTACCATCCCCGCCGCCAGGAAGCTGACCCACATGGCACAGCAGACCTCTTCCTGTCTCACCCACTCCTTCTCTCAGCAGTGTATTTTAGTCAATCTGCCTGCTGGTCCTCATTCTATGGTGAATCCTCTCACCCCAAAACTCTGGCCTACACCCCAGCTCTTATACACAAAAATAAATAAATCTTACACACACACACACACACACACAAAATTTCTAGTTTGTTTAATCACAGCAAAGTTGAGTCTAACTTGGTATAGGTGACCAACAACAGCCATATCCTAGACTTTGGGACACCACAGTATATCACTGTCCTCAGAGTTGAACAGTCTCCAGAGAAAGAGTTTATTATGCTCAGCAGCTTGAATTCACTCCATCATTGATCAAGAGAGTTGGTACCATGAATTTTTCATGTCTGGTTCTCTGCAGGATTTGATTGAAGGAAATTATTCTAATATTGTGGCTTTTTTTTATACCCATGCCCTTAGCCATCACTAATTAATGGAATATTTGAAAAAGCTGATGCAGAGATAGAAATTTAATTTGATTTACATTTCCAAGTGGAGGAAACTTACTGAAAAGATTTATTAACCTCCTCAGGTCAAGAATTTAGGCAAATTAAGGACCCAGAGAAACACATTTTTCAGACTCAGATAGTTCAGCAGAATGTAATTCCCTAAGACTTCTTATACTTTCATCTTGAAAGTGTAGTTTAACATGACATCTTACTTCTATGGATAATTAGGGGGAAAGATCACTGGCAATCTGTACAGGTATTCAGATGCGAAGGTGAGTATAAACTGGGCAGATCACAAGTAGACTGCTTAAAAAATACTCTTAGTGGGAATTCCCAGGAGCTCAATGGAAGCAGGGAATTTGAACAATCTAAAAACCATTAGCTGTAAACAAAGTTACGATTTTAGAAGTTTTTCAAAAACTGAAGCCCATGAATGGCTTCAAGTTTCTATTGCTTCCTTTGGAGAGCACAGCTCAGGTTGTATCTAATTATCATGCCTTTGTCCTCAAAGCCTTGCATTTATGAGGTACTGATTAAATTAGAAAAGAAAGTCTCCCAGCCAAAGAATAAGTGTGGCCCTTCTGTCTGGCTACAAATAAACACATCTGTTGTCAGGCAAATACAGACTTCAGATGGGTGTCCCAGCCTTGTGTCCCAAGCAAATGACAGCAATTATTTTAAACTCCTTAGCTGTCAAAAATATTTTATTTAGGGTCCCTGACAGCAATTTTTTTAAACTCCTTATCTGTCAAAAATATTTTATTTGGGGTTCCTACTGAAATACCATATTCCTGGAATTCTGGAAACACAGAATTCCAGAATGATCCTGACATTTCAGGGCACTATGCCATAAACAACCTTTAAATCCACTTGATGCCAACATTTGAGATATATTGAAATCAAAGCTGAAATACAATATGTAAAATTCAGAACCCGAACCTAAAATAGTTCAGAATAATTTAATTGGTTCAGTAATTCATTAGTTTTCTCATTTAACTATTCAAAGTCAGGGCACATTAATATTCTGCCTATAACTTGGCTTCTGTGTATGAACAAAGTTCAACTGTTTATGGCATGTTTTTGTATGGTTTTTGGTGGCAGTGTTCTCCAATGGCACACAGCAAAACAAATCTGGGCAATTCTGATACATTTGGATCTCTAATCTTGTAGCCAAGACCCAAGGAAAAGGGAAAAGGCCCAGGCATTTATACTTTCATTAATGATTAACTTCTGTTTCAAATATTCTGTTGAATTCTCCTGTCACCGTAGACTGTAGGCTCTTAACTTCTCTCCAGAAATATGGTCAGAATATTTTGGCATGCTAATGATTTTCAAAGTAACTAAAAATTTGTGCAATAGGCCAAAGTTCCTACCAAAGTTTACCCTTCTTCTTCCCTTGTTTTTTCCCCAAAACCACTTTATTGCTCACAAAAATCACATAACAACTTTTTTTGTGATGCCACTACACACAAAACAAGTTCATTCTGTGTAGCACCACATTTATCTTCTTAATGTACTATCTCGTCTATTTTGTAAATGTAGAAAACTCTACAATGTCAAAAAACAAAGGGGAAAAGACACTTCTTTTCACCACAAGGCAGCTTCACAAATGCATGCAATCAATATTAATGAGTTACAATTTGAAATGCTTAAAACACATACAGTCATCATTTATATTATTTTTGTCTGGCAGGTTAATTAAAGAATATTTATCTTTTACTTGTATTTATCTGGATATTTAACTGTCAGCAACTTGTTTTTCAGCTCGCTTTACGTTTTAGAGATGCATTCAAGATATGCACAACTTTTCTTCGTTGTCACTGAATAGTTTTTTGCTTTAGGAATGCATGAATCATTCACCCAGCCTCCTGTGGTGAACATTTTGATATCTGTTATTAGTCAATAACACAAAAACAGGATAAAAAGTAATTATCTATCACAATTATCAGCCTCTCCAGTCTCACCAACCAATTCTGAAAATACTTAAACGCTAAAAACAAGAATAAAATGTTCTAAAAATGTGGGAAATTCTATAGCCTATGATTTTTGAGCTCCATAGTATCTAGGCCTTGTACCAGCTCTGTGTTCTTGAGTCCAAATATTTATATCTCCCTGCCTCAGTTTCTGCACTTATAAAATAGTTAATAAAGATATTAAGGTGTGATAGTTCTGTTTGTCAAGAAAAATTATCAACAAGGTAAGCAGAGTCTTAACAAATTAAACCCCAATTTGGCTTCCCCAACCTCATGTATTTTTGTTAAACTTTAACAAAGCAAGTAAATTCAAACTGCTTGGTTGCTGAGGATAATTACAAATGTAATGCAATCACAAGGATTATTGAATGCTGAGCCACTGTCTCAGAATCACAAGTTTATAAAAGAAAGCTCACTATGGTAAATATGCAAACACTAATTGAAAGATAATATATCATAATGTTATTAGCAAAGGAAGGTGAAAAATATTTGCTTTTAGTTTGTCGTGTGAAAATTCCAACTTTTCTGCAATGAAAGTATGTAGGAATTTTAGGTACGGAAACAGTAATAAATATATGACTTGAATTTATTCAGCTATTTTTCTTTAAACAGACATGAAGGCTTAGGCAACTTCTGTCCATCTTTAAGCAAATCTTTTATTCTGAGGTCAAGGTCATTTTTTGTGACTTCAGTAGAATCTCAATTAGCAAGAGCAAATCGTTTTAGAACTGTTTCTAAATCTTACCCAATATCTCCCAATTCCAATATTTTAATTTTTCTAATTATCTTAAAAGTGTAATAATCCTTATAAAGGTCTTCAGGGGCCTAGAAAGCTCACTTTAGCTCAAGTCAGGAACTCACCTTTTTCTGATATTGCAAAGGAAACCGATTTGTTGTTACCCTCAATCTTCCTTCCCCTTCTTTTAAAAAATAATTGTGCAAATGAACTGGCAGTCAGTGGAGGCTTAATGTGGAATGTGGTCACATCATCCTAGGTTTAATGAGATTTCTTTTTCTTATAGTCTCCGGGCTTCTTCATTAAGACACACTTGGGGGTTTCTCACAAATGTTGCCACTGGTTGCTGCACACCTACCAAGGGCTAGACACTGAACGCATTCTACCTGAAGAAGGCCATGAAGGGTTCACCTCAATGGCGGAGCCAAACCAGTAAACAACTAACTCGAATCCAAAGTGTTACGAGCCATCTGGAGATAACACAAAATGCCAAGTGAACACTGCGGGGCGGGATGGGAGTTCATTTAGTCTGCGGGAAGTGTGGGGAGGTCCGGGGTGCTTTGGAGGGGGTGGAGATCTGGCAAAGCTTTCCAGAGAGGTACTCAGGAATCCACCAGTTACTTAAGAGAGGAATCCAGCAATTTAACCAAAGGGCGCTTTCCACCTGGTGCTCCCCATCTAGCAAATGGGTCTCGCAGGCCTAAGCGCTAGCCTGGGAACTCCGTAACAGACCACCAGGATCCGAGATCAGGCCGGGTTCAAGTAGCCCGCTCTGTGGAGGTCTGGAAACCGCGCCCTACCCAGTCAGGCGACCACCTGTTCTCGGCTTCCACCGTCACGGGTTGATAAGACTCCGCCCAGCCCTGGGGGCGAAAGGCCAGCACCGACCCGGGTGCAAAATCCGATCCAGTCACTCGTGGCACAGAAGTGGGCCGAGATTTGAGCCCCAGCAAGGCCCTGCGGGGGCGGAGCGGCTCCGCGGCCTCCCGCGAGCCCTGCACCGAGGAGCGGGGCCACGGCGGGGTCACCCAGACCCGGGCAGCCCAGCGCTGGCGACACCCTTCGCCCCCAGTGCCCACCTTCTCCCGGAGGGCGGGCGGAGAACGCACCAGGGCTGAGAATAAACTCAGCACGCAGGAGGGGCTGCCCGGAGCAGGCCTCGGGGCACCGGTCCCCACCAGCGCAGCGCGCGCCCGTACAGCCGGGACCCCCGACTTACCTGATCCGGTGGTGCGCGGGTGGGAGTCCGAAGCGGGCGGGCGGGATCGGTGTCCGCCCTGCCTCACCTGGGCGGAAGTGAGCGGCCCCGGGTGACCGCGTCTCACCTGGCCCTCCCCTCGCACCGACCCTCCCCGGCCGGGGCGGGGCGCCGCGGTGGCGCGGGTGGGGCGGGCCCGGAGCCCTGGGCCTCGCGAGGCCGCCTCTTGGAGGGTGGGCAAGAGTGGTGTTTCCCTACTTTCCGCAGGTGCGGTTTGATGGGGCGAGGGAGGGCTCAAGGGCCTTTCGGGAAATGTCTAGGGGCGGATGAAGCGCCCAGTAGTGGGGGCAGCTATGCTGCGAGATCCGCAGGGACAGGTATTGGTTGGTCGGAGAGCTGGGCGGAGAGCGAGTCCCAAGATCAAGGAAATTGAAACAGGGCATTGATGAAAGGATTTGCTCAAATCTCTTTAACCTCATTCCTTTCCCAGCCTGTCATCATTTCCTTGAAGTTTCCACTGACCCAACATAGACTGCTTAAGTACAACTGGGGATTCTTTCTTTTCTCGTGTAGCTGAAGAGAAAAAAACTGCGCCGTTTGCTAGCCCTATCCTGGGCACTAAGCATCTCACTCTGTGAAGGCCTGCTGAAGAAACCGCGCACCTGACAGATTAAATAAAAATTTGGGACTCAGGGTTTTTCAATTCTTAAATCCAGTGTTGACTTCACTACACATTTTACCATCGTTAATCCTCAGATCGTTGGCTTTGAGCAAAACAGGTGTAAAAATGGCATTACACACTATTATTTTGATAATAGGTGTTTTACTAGTACAGTGCATATGTCAACAATAATCAACCTTCAGGTATCCCTACTGAATAAATGCAATATTCATTTAGCACTAAGTCCTTGTAAAATGAAATAGCTGTCCTCAAAAAAGATGAGGCCTATATACACACACAACTGCTTATATACAACACTTGGTTGCTTCTTTTAAAGGAAGTATCATTTTTTGAGACTGGTAAAAAAACAATGACCAGCACAGTCCTTGCTTTTTGAGAAAAAATATTGAGAGAAATAAACATTAAGTTACTAATTAAAATGAACCAGAACTTCAACACACTGCAGTCGTTAGGGCTTAAACAGTTCACAGGTGTTTGGGATTTATCTAGGTAAAATGGAGAAGGAAATAACCTCCCAAGTCAGGGACACAGCCTCAAGACCCTGAAGCTTAACGTAAACATTGGCTTACTTATTTAATGATGGTTATGAACATTTTTGTTTAAAAAAATGACTGAATCGACCACAAAACAAAGTTCAAACTTCTCCTCAAAGACCCTCTAGTCTCTTTGCTTGCTTTCCAACCTCACCTCCCATTTCACTTCTCTAGGATATTACTCTGGCCTTACAGGTCTGTTGTGTCCTTAGAATTATCAAGAACCAAGGCTTTCCTGTTTCCTGTTAGCATTCTTTTGACTCAGGTAGTAATTTTCTAATTACTCAATACAAATTTTAAGACTTATTCTGAGTCTTACTCTCAGTTCACCTGAGAATGTTCACAAATATTTATTCATAAAATGCTGAATATCTTTAATACATATTTGCCATCAAAAAGTTGAGTTTGAACCCTGATTCCATTCCCTAAATTTGTGACTTTTATAGGTTACCTAACCCTTATGATTTTTACTTGTGAAAACAATTTTATAAGGTGGTCTTGAAAATCAAGTGGCTACTATCTAGGTACTACACATAGCTGAGCACACAAGTACTCAAAAAATGAAGTAGCACATAAGTAGGAATGAACATGACATACTGACAGCAGGAGTCAATCAAAACTAACAGAAACAAAGTGAGGCCAGGGCAGATAGTGGAGGACCTGAAATATTACAGAAAACATCAGGTAATGAGTTTTTCCTTCATTTCTAAGAAATTAAAAACTTTTAAACATTTTTAATATAATTTTTATTATTTTTTTAAACATCTTATAGCTAGATTTTATTTTTAAAAACTTTTACAGCAGTTTGAAATAACAGCAAAAATTTAAAGGTAGGCTTCCCCTATAACCCATGTACAATCTCTTTTATTAACATCCCCCACCAGAATGTTGTCCATTACAGCTGACAGAAGTACATTAACATATCATAATCCCAAAGCTCACAGCTTGCAAAACTCTTGTACAATCTATGGGCTTGCACAAAGGTGTAATATCATGCATCCATCCTTTTAGTATCAAAGTATGCTACTGTCAAAAAAAATCCCCTGTGCTCTGTTTGTACCCATCTTCCACCCCAACTCCTGGTAACCACTATTTACAGTCTCCATATACATTTTCCAGAATGTCACAGTTGAAAACATGAAAGGTATGGCCTTTTGACACTGACTTCTTTTACTAAGTTCAAGCACTTAGGGTTCCTCCGTGTTCTTTAATGGCTTGATAGCTCATTTCTTTTAGCACTTAACAATATTCCACTGCCTGGACTTATAGATTTATGTATGTTATTTTCTTACTGAAAGCCATCTTTGCTGCTTCCAAGATTAAGCAATTTTTTGCTTAACCAGGTTTGTGGGTTTTCACGTAGACAACTCCTCTGAGATGAAAGGAACTTGAATAAGATTACAAATATTCGTTTTCTTACTGAAAAATTAATATGGAAGTAGTCTGAAAAGTGGGTTGGCAAAGTTTTGCAAAAGGGTCTAGAATCAAAAAAAAAGAGGAAGAAGCCACCATGACAAGAAAATAATTTTTCAGCCTGAAAAAATGAACACCTAACGATATCAGTTGCTTACTGATTAGATAAAGGGATTAAAAAATAAGGAAACAGAAAAGCAGAGATGATTTTGTTCTGAATCTATTAAAGGAACAATGATAATGAAACTAAGAAAAGCCATTTTTAAATTTTTTGAGAACAGAACAATTAGTAGTTTTAGAGCTGCTTTTCAGATTCAAGATGAAGTATACATGGCATAGAGATGAGTCAAATTTAACTTTTTTAAAAATCATGTTGTATTATCTTTAAGGATCAAGACCCTTCTATCCAACTATGCCACCTGGAAAGCATCTCACCCACTGCTCTGCTTAGCTGCCAATCTCTTATCTCTCTCTTCAGCAATGGTGAGGCGGATACCTTTTCCTCGGGGAAGAGAAATCCATGGTTTGTTGCCTTTGCCAATAACAAAAATGTTGGAAAGACGGGTGGCAAAGCTGTTACCATTAGCATCTTTCACATGGACTACATCAAAAGAACCAGGGTGTCTCTCTCTGTTAGTGATCACACCAATTCTTCCCAGGTTAGCACCTCCGGTTACCATGCACAGGTTGCCAGTGTCGAACTTGATGAATTCTGTAATCTTGCCGGTTTCCAAATCAATCTGAATGGTATCATTTACCTTGATGAGTGGATCAGGATAGCGGATGGTACGAGCATCATGGGTGACCAGATGAGGAATTCCTTTGGTGCCCACAATTATCTTTCTCACTTTACACAACTTGTATTTGGCCTCCTCAGGTGTAATGCGATGAACAGCAAAGCGACCCTTGGTATCATAGATCAGTCGGAAATTCTCTCCAGTCTTGTCAATGCTGATGACATCCATAAAACCAGCAGGGTAGGTTATATCAGTGCGCACCTTGCCATCAATCTTAATGAACCGCTGCATACATATCTTCTTCACCTCATCTCCTGTTAAGGCATACTTGAGCCTGTTTCTTAGGAAAATGATGAGAGGGAGACATTCTCTCAGCTTATGGGGACCAGTGGATGGACGAGGAGCAAATACCCCTGTTAGTTTATCCAGCATCCAATGCTTTGGAGCCGCAACTCGCTTCAGATGCTTCTTGGGACCACGAGCCATAGCTGAGCTAGGCATAAAAAAAGAGTCAAAGTTAATTTAGTTGGAGAGCACCACAGGGAAAACACAATCACAAATACTTGAGACAAAAACAAAGAATTTTAAATATGCAGAAAAGTATAGTAAAGATATACCAGAGACTTGACATCATGAGTTAATCATGGGGGAGGGGAATGTTCATTGCAGTCAAATGAAAAAGTAATTTGGGGAAAGTATCTTTTATCTCAATGTTTCTATTTTCTGCATGGAACAGGAGTTAGGTTGGTTTCTCCAAAGTTGTCCTATGGGCAAAAACTGTTAACATGGTGTATATCAGAATCTCAGTAATAAAAAGATCCCAATGCATAGAGCGGGAGATCTTGAATCCCAGAGGATGCGTCTCTTCATGATCCACTGGTAACCTTTCCGAATGTTTTCACACAGCAGCTTTCATCTTGGTCTGCGCTACTCATATCCTTTACTTTGTACAGATGCCTATAAAATTTTCATATTGAAATTAGAAATTAGGCATTGAAAATGTGGTAAATTGGTAAGGTTTCAGAATATTTTTACTAAAAGTAGACAATGCAGTAATCCTCTGCTCACAGACTATGCTGATAAAGTAACATATTTTACTAAACCATGAGTAAACAGTAAAGGGCAATAAAGTGAATTTTTAAATATGTTATCAGCTCAAGAGTCAAAAATTATGTCCTTTATTTAACTTTCACTGGGAGGCTTTTTTTGTTACTTTCAGTTTATACATTGTAGGATAATCATTAGAAGCATAAAAATATTTTTATAGGGCCCAGTCAGTAAAACCTAAGCATTTTCATGTAGTCAATTGTTCAAAATCTATCTGGAAAATGACACAAACATAAAAGTCACCAAAATAGTCCCGCAGTAAGCAAAAAAAAAAAGTCTTAAAAAAAAAAAATCAAGTTAGAAAGTTGCTTCCTTTCACCTGATGTTTAGTCTGTATTTCAAAAATCAAGCTAGGGTACTGTTTGATAAAGCGAGTCAAATTGTAAATTCAGCTTTTTTATCACCAGGTATTTGTAAGTGGTAGTTTGTCCTTAGACCTGGATCTTACTTCTACCCCTTTCTTAAATTTCATCTCAGAAAGAGACTCAGGGATGGTATTACGCTGTGTTCTATGGACATTATTGATGTTTTTTAAACTTACAAATTTATGTCTAGTTTTCTAAGCTGTACATTTTTAAGTGGTCATGCATACTATGAAGACTCAACAATGATGATGCAGGTTGGCCTGGATTTTGAAGTAAGCTAATGCTAGTGCGAAAAATATTGCATTACCCTGTACTGTTTATAGGAAATATCTTAATCAAAACTCTTATCTGGGCCCTCCCTGGTGGTGCAGCGGGTTATAGCACTGCACTAAGAAGCTTAAGCCACTTCCTCAGGAGTTCGATTCCCGCCTGCCCCGGAGGAGATCCACATGGGGCGGCAGACCTCTCCTGACCCGCCCGCTGCTCCCCTCAGCAGTGTACTTTGTCGATCTGCCTGTTCTGCTCCCCACTCTGTCCCTGGTGAATCCTCTCACCCTCTGCATCTCTGGCCTGTACTCCAGTTCTGTATGAATAAATAAATAAATCTTTAAAAAAAAAAAAACTCTTATCTTAGTGCAATACCTACAAGTATTTGGACTTCTACAGAAACATTAAATCACATTTAAACTGTCTTTTTCCATATCAAAAGTTAAGTGCTTAAAAAAAAAAGTTAAGTGCTTAATTGTGGGCTCCTTTTTCTACTTCTAGTCTTCAAAACAAAGTTTCTCTCACCTAATGCTCAGCACACAGTAAATTTGTTTTTAAGGCATTTTATGAAGAGAAGAACATAAAGAATGAAGAAAGAAGAAAGCAATGTAGTATGGGAAAGTGGGAGAAAAGAAAGAAAACACGAAAAAAGAACAGAACTATTTGAAACAGGAAATTTAAAAAATGAACTAAATTTCAAATTTCCTATACTTAAGAGCAACAGTCATGTTTCAGATAAAAAAAAAGCGCTGCAAATTTGGCCTAAAATTTTTTAAATGTAGTTACAGTACTGAATATTACTGCACACGGTTACACTTCTCACGGTACACAATCCCAGTGTCCCCCAAGGGCAGGAAGAGCATCCCTAGGTTATCCGTTAGAAATGTAGTGTGGGCTCTGGATCTTGGACCCCGAAATCACCCCTGTACCCCCAGTAAAACCTGCACGTGATTCTGATGTTCCTTAAGATTTGAGAATGACTCCATAATATAATTCTTCCAAGTCTGGATGAATATGCAGCAAATTAAAGTACTGTTGTGTCAGAGGATAAAGAACCAGATTTTAACCAAAAAAAAGGGGGGGGGGAGAGGGAGCGTGGTCACGCGGCTCAGGGATGCCAGAAGGTCGCGCGGGTCGCGCGAGAACTACGTCTGCGCCCGAGGGGAGAACTCAAACAACGTCCAAAAATTAACCACGACGGAAGGCGACAAATGGAGCAAAAGTCTCAAACGGACCAAACTTCCCCCAAGAAAAGCGCACATTCTGCTCAGTATAAAAACCCCTCACAACTTTCGGAACAAACTCAGCGACGGACGCCCATGCTTGCAACTTCCCACCAGCGTGGCCGTCAACTCCGGTCTCGCGGTGTAGGCCCTGGAGAAGGCCTTTCCCGCGTCGAAACCCTCACTATTAAAAATCAAGGCCTAGCTTCGCGCTCGCGGCCCGAAGAGCCGTTGGGAGCGACCCTTTTTCCTCCCACACAACAGGGAAGACGTAATACCGTCAGGAAAAGCAGATTCTGGCAGCGAGTCGCCTCCGCAGCTCCCCCGCGGTCACCTAGTAACCTAGATCAACGTGCTTTTTAGCGTCTTTGAGTAAACTGGACGTCAACGGAACGTCAAATGTAAACCCAAATCCTACCAGTACCGTCGGAGAACGTGCTTGTAAAGCGCTTATCAAGTCGCCGCGGGCTGCTGGGGCTTTACGAAACAGGAGACTCGCGGTAGCGTTAACTCGGGAGTGAGGAGCAGGAGGCGAGCAGATTTCCGGGCGACTCTGCTCTCTTCCGGTTAGCAAAGAGGAAATAAAGTTTTCCCAGGCGATTCGGCGGTCTACAGACTGGGCAACCAGCCTCCAGCAACGCGTGGTCCCTTTAAGAGCCGGCTCCCTCCACTCTTCTTCTGCTCATGCTCAGAGAAACCGGAACCGGAAGTAGTGGGGGCGCGCTGGTCCCCAGCATGGCGGCCGCCTGGCCCTCAGGGCCGGTTGTTCCAGAGGTTGTGGTCGCCCAGCTCCTGGGTCTCCTGTGGTTCGTGTCAGCCACCACGGGACCTTGGGGAGCTGCCGCTACCGCCGCCATCGGGGGCGAGGAGACGCTTAAATGCGAGGATCTCAAAGTGGGACAATATCCTCTATGAGGAGCCCCCTCATGGGGGCAAGGTAGATTTGCAGTCGCTAGTGGGGTCGCGGCCTCGACACGGGCTAGGGTTGCAATGTTGGGAACGATGACCTTTGGCTTTTAATGACCGAAGGATCCTGGGAGGTGAAGAGAGATCTGGGGCTCGGAAGATCGGGGACCACCCTGTGTTGTTTCCCTGAGATTTTTACTGGCCATAGTGCGCTTCTTCTCCGAGACAGTTTTTAAGTTTCAAAGCGATGGGCTTATTTGCTCCATAAATCCTGAAGTATCCCAGCCCCTGTTTAAGGCACTAGTGCTGCAAAAAATTGATGGGCTCGGCCCTGAAAGTTTTCTGACTTGGAAAGGGACAAATAAGTCGTTAGTAACGAAACAGCCAGTGTGTGTTTTCCGTTCATTAGATTTACATATATTACAAAATGTTATATAAAGTTTCTAGAGATGCCAGATTGCCAGGAGACAAATTCCTGCTGCAGTTTGTCGCCTTGGGCACTTTATTTGAACTTTTCTTTTTTCTTGAGTAAACAACAGTGATACCAATTTAAAGTCTCATGTTGCCTGGCACATAGTAGGGATTATATATTATCTGTGTGTTTACAGATGAGAAAACAGGACTAAGGGGTTGAGTGGATCTGTTCATTTAACACATCTCTGATAATAGAAGGGATCAGAAGTGATAATTACATGCAAATTTTGTGTAAAATTAAATGCTGTTATATGCAATTTATAAAACAAACTACCCCCCCCCAAATCTAATAATAGAAGACAGGTAAAGAAAGCTTCTCTGAGAGAAATTCTTAAAATTAAGAACAGTATATCTTACAGTTATTTTTGTTTCAGCTGGGGAGAAGCAGCCATTATCAGACTTTTATAGAAAAACTCCAATTGGCTAAAAACTTGTAGTTTGAGAAAGATTGACCTAGTAAGTTGAGTCTTGTCTTTGCAAAAAAGTTGGGTTAGTTTTTTCAAAGAAATTGAACATTTTTAAGAGTTTGTTTGAGAGAAGTGGCTGAGCATATAAGACTAGGAAGGGATAATAGATGGCAAAAGTTTTTTCCTACAATAAAATGATGTGGTTTTTTTTTTTTTGAATAGTGACTCAAAAACTTTATAATGGACAAACTTTCTTAACTCATCACAGGATTTTTGTTACATGAAATTATGCATATGGCAATACTTGGGACTCTATAAGAAACTGATTTTTTTTTTAACTGAAAGGTCTCAATTTTCATGTATTATTTGTGCATCCTTAAAGATCTGGTGTTCTTTAAGGATGACATCTGGAGTTTCGAATATATATTAAATTAATACCCTTTCTCTGTAATAAATGAATGTTCAGATATTACTTAGTGACATAAAAGTATGTTTGTGATTGTTTATTTGGAGACAGAGCAGCCTGTCTTTGAATATATAAATAAGCTATATAGACAATAATGTTTATTCATATTTCCTTGACTTTTCTTACATATATTTGTAAAGATCCAAAAATAAATGATGCTACCCAAGAACCAGTTAACTGTACAAACTACACAGCTCATGGTAAGACTTCCAGAAACATGTTCTTTAAAAATAATTCCTTACACATTAACTATTTCTTAAATCAATGATTACTAAAAGCAATCATTGTGTTTTTTTCTTAAGTGTTTCAGTTGCTAGAACAACTTAAAATTGGAGACTGGCTAGCAATTAATACTATTTAATTTTAAAAAGAAGAATCTTATTCCCCGAACTATATAAATGTGGTAGTTTATAGTTCATTCATTTTTTAGAATCTTTGAGATGAGTTTATATAGCTCTCTTGATGCCTTTATTTACTAACCTGTATTATATGAAGATCGTTCTTTAGTTAATTTTTTTTTTTTAAAGTTTTTTTTTTTTTTGCATACAAGAACTGCGTAGAGAACAGGTGCGGGATGGGGAGAGGATTCACCAGAGACAGAGTGGGGAAGAGGTGGTTAAACTGAAATACACTGTAGAGGAGCATCTGGTGAGACAGGAGTAGAGTGCTGTTACTTAACCCCTTGTGCCACCAGGGAGGTCCTCCCTCTTTAATTAGATTTTTAATTACTCAAGAAGAACTTGGAAGTATATGTGTTAGTCTACTAAAAGTACAGCAGGGGGGATATGTCACGCATATTATATACTTAGCAAAATATACTTAGGTACCTTCTAAGTATGCAAATCCTCTGGTAGGGGCCTCCCTGGTGGTACCAGGGTTTAAAGCACAGCACTATGAAGCTGTCCACAGCCTTTGCAGCACTGAGTTTAATCCCTGACCAGGAAGTTGACTCCCATGGTGCAGAAAGACCTCGCCTGTCTAGCCTGTCTAACCGGCTGAGGCCCCCTGAGCAGTGTATTTCAATCTGCCTGTTCTGCTCCCTACTTTGTCTCTGGTGAATCTTCTCACACTGCTCCCCATATCTCTAGCCTGCACCCCAGCTCTTGCATACATAATTTTTTTTTAAAGGAAGTAGTGTGGTGGTGATACTATGTCTCAATATTATGAAGCTACATCTGTTAACTTCGATTTCATCTCTTTGTAGATCTTATTGTCATTTCCTTGCTTTTATGTGGAGTCAGTCTAAGAAAGAATTACGTAAACAACAGCTATTATTTTGTAATATTTCTTTCTGAGGACGTTTATTGTGTTCTGTTTGTGTCATGAACCAAGCCAAGTTTCCTGCAGTAGTTTAATAGGTGAATTGCTATTTCTTTCTGATTATATCATAATAGCTCTGTAGAGCTTTTTGCCTTAATCACAAAGAAGCTCTGAGCTAAATTTGTGACTCAATTACTATCTTCCCTTTGTATTTCCTAGATAATTATTTCTTCACTTTCCTTCTCTTCATTTTATTACTTTTTTCTTGCTTAAATGGTTCTCAGTTATATCGAAATGTGCAACTTTTAGTGCAAGAACTTAGTTGCTTTACAAACTTGAGTACAATAAAAAACCAAATACTATGGGTGGTGTAGATTGAACTATCAACTCAAAAGGGTTTTTTCTTGGCATCATTTTCTTAGTGTGCTACTCTAGCCTAAAACAGGGCCATGATTTGCTGCAAAACTTAAGTATAAAGAAGACAGATAATAAATACCATTTTTTCTCAGTAAAACTCTAAGGTCTTTGTTTTTTACTTAGATTATTATATAGAGTTCTTTGTGTATATTCTGGAGGGGGGGAGTCTAGTTGTTGATGTGAAACACATAAACATTTATTAAAACTAGCTTTTTAGTTTGAAATGGTAACGTAGGAAAAGGTACTAAAGTTTACTGAATAACTACTATATGCTGTTTCTTGTGGTAGGCACTTTATAACATTTAACCCCCGTGATACTATAATGTAGGTAATTTCAACACTACTCTTATCTACAAAGATTTCAAGATTCTGAAAGAGACAATGCACACAAGATTATTCTCATTCCAGAGTCCTTGTATTTGACACTATACAATGATAACGATACCAGAATATTTACTACTTACTGTCCCATGGTAAATTCTACAAGAGTTACTTTTGCTCATTACTATCTTAATGTTATCCAGGGCCTGAGTAAAGAACAAAATTTGCTAAGTTCTGAATTAATATACTTTATCACCTCCTAGATTAAGTTGAAGCATATATTTAGAACAATAATAGAAACTTAGCTTTAGGCAGCCATTATTACAAGTTGACATAAACTGAAAATACAAAATCAAACTATGTAAAATTTAATAAATTACCCAATGAATTACCAACAAAAATTAGAGAAGTATTCTTTATGTAGAGATAAAATAAAGGGCAGTAAAATTGTACAATTTGCCTCCTGTCACCTTTGTCAGAGGCAGGATTATACCTTTAACCCAATGTGGCAATTTTCATTTTAGGGTTTTTTAAAAACTTATTATTATTGCATTATTGTTCATTTTTGTATGTTTGCTTTCTCTGCTCACATATAGTCCCTGTAAAATTTCCATCATCAATTCACAGGTGCAACATCACCATAGTCCGTTGTGCTGTCCCATCCCCTGTTGTGATACTTCTTCCCCTTCCCCTGCAGAATGTCTCTGAATTTTAGTTGCCTTTTAATTATTTTTTTTAATTTTTTTTCCCTGATCCCTTATTTGGTTCCCCTATATTCCTCCTATAAGTGAAACCATTTGGTATTTTTCTTATGCTTCCTGACATTTCCCTGAGCATAATCCCGTGCAGCTTCACCCGTGGTTGCTATAAATGGCATGGGTTTATCTTTTGATTGCTGAATAGTATTCCATTGTGTATATATACCACATCTTTTTGATCCAGCTTTATATTTTGGGGCATTTGGGTTGTTTTTATATCTTACCTATTGTAACTAGTGCTGCAATAAACATAGGAGTGCAGGTATCCTTTTGAATTAATGTGTTTGTGTCTTTTGGGTAGATTCCCAAGAGCAGAATTGCTGGATCATATGGTAGCTCCATTTTTCGTAGTCCAAGGAACCTCCACACAGCTTTCCAGAGTGGTTGTACCAGTTTGCAATCCCATGAGCATTTAGGAGAGTTACTTTTTCTAATGTGCACAATTTTTAATTCATGTATTTTTTTGTGTTAAGACTACTATGTCATTTTTACCTTGGATGTATAAAATATACAAGATGTATAGAGTAGGGACCTCCTTGTGGCCTTGGGGTTAAGTGTCAGTGCTACCACTGCTACAACCTGAGTTCAGTCCCTAGGAGAGCTAACCCACAGCAGGTTTCTTCTGTCTTGCCTGCTGATTAACAGTGTATTTCAGTAAATCCACCTATTCTGCTGCCTACTCTGTCTCTAGTGAGTCCTCACATCCCTCATATGTTTGGCCTACACCCCAGTTCTACAGAAAAAATTTTTTTTAATTTAAAAAGATACATATATAGTAGCTTTCCCTATCTAGATCTCATGTCAAATTTTATTTTGGAAGGTAGTGTCTCATATGCTTTTCTAGTCTCAAAAAAAATTACATGGTTTTCTACAAAAAATATAATTGTATCATTCCCTTTTCTGCCTTCAGTTCCATGTTTTCCAGCACCCAACATTACTTGTAAGGATTATGGTGGTAATGAAACACATTTTACTGGAAATGAAGTTGGTTTTCTCAAGCCCATAGCTTGCCGAAATGTGTAAGTACACTACTGAAGCTAGATTGTGTGTTACTTGCCTTTGTTTTATCTTGATTTCATGGTGTGAAAAGATAGAGTTTATTTGTGGGAAAGATCATGCATTATTGTAACTTTAATCTTTTGCTTGTCACAAAACCTCTGTTTTAAGTGTGCTTAAGTTATTACTTTATAAATATAATTTAGCAATCATATAAAAACTCAGTGGTTCACTATGTGGAGTGAAGACTATAAATGTCCGCATGCTATGTCAATTCAATCAGTTTATGCTACTAAGTAATGAAAAAGTTCAGTGTTCAAAATTTCTAGAATACAAATAAAGGATTGTGTGCCTGATTATCACAAATGATGTTAATTATTAATTGCACATTAAGGGCATTTTGAAACTTCACTCTGAAATAGATTTGAATGATGAAGGAGTATTAAGACATGACTATTTGGTTGGGAATGTACTGTTTAGAGGACTTACTGGGTTTGCTTTTTTGCTGTAGTAGACTTAAATTTGCTATTCTTTACTCTGCTTTTTGCTAAAAACATGATTTAGTTTTACCCATTTTTATTAGTTACTGGCATTGTTTTTTGTCTTTTAACTATATGTTGTTGCATTTCATTTGAAAACACTTGTTTGCCATTTTATCAGGAAATTACTGTTAAACTGTTTCTGTAAACTTTTAGAATACTTAGAAATTACTGTTAGAGTCTCTATTGACCCTACTTCACTGAATTAATAAAGGGCACTAAAGTCCATCTGGATGTATAATCCTAAACCAGTCACTTCTTTCTCAAACTCCATAATTGTTATTTGGACAACTCCACTGGAATACTTCATAGATATCTCAAACTCACATGTCCAATGCTAAAATATAGGTCACCTTTCCAAGGTTTAGACCATCCTTAGCCTTCCCCAACTCAATTAATGCTACCTTCATCCCTCTAGTTACTTAGGATAATTATTTGGCATTATCTCTTCTTTTATTAATATTCCACATCCAATATAACAGAACTACCCAGTTGGTTGGCTTCAGAGAATATCCAGAGACTGGTCATTTCTCACTAATTCCTTTGCTATTATTCCAAGTCATGCCACTTCTATTTCTAGAATAGTCTTCACACTGCTTGCCCCATGGTGGTTTGAATTTGTTCAGAACTCTCAGTCGCTGTAAAGTGGGCAGTGTATACTTCCCATGTCTGATGACTTTTGGTTTGATTTGATTTGGCCTATATAATGTTAGCAGGTGTGAAGTTAAGCAAAGGCTTAAATGTGTGTGTAGGGTTTAATTTCCTCTTGTACTTTGGTGGTATGTCCTGAAAAGAACTTAACCCAGTAGCTACTATACCTTCAGCCTAGGACACAAAAATACTTAAGTGGAATTGAGTGGATCAGAATCTGCAACCTAGATTAAATTCAGCACAGTTCAATCTAAAGGAACAGTTCTGGTCTGAGCCACAGCCAATCTCAATTTGCAAGTATGAGAATAAGTGCTAATTATTGTAAGCCTCTGAGTTTTAGGATGGTTTGTTATATATCATTATTGTGACAGTAGCTCACAAATACTACCATGCAGTATATTTTTAGCACAACAGCTAGAGAGTGATTATTTAAAAGTCTAAGTGAGATCATATCAAACTCTACCTAAAATCCTGCAGTAACTTACCCTTTCAGAAAAAAGCAGATCTTCAGTGATATTCAGGGTCCTGCATGATCTGCTCTCCTTGTCGTGTTAACTGGCCTTATCGTCTATACTTTCCCTCTTCCACTCCACTCCACTATAGTGAATTTCTTGCAAGAACTTAAAACATGTCAGGTATGTTGCCTTTACAATAGCAGTTTCTTTTGCCATAGTCACTCCTCTCTCTGAGATGTGGTATAGCTAACTTACTACCTCCCTCAGTTCTTTGCTCAGATACCACCTTTTCATGAGGCCTGCTCTGACCATCCCATTTATATAGCCTTACTTGAAGCTGTGGCATACTGGATTTCGTTTACACCCTGCTCTACATTTTTGTTTAATATTATGATTTTCTAATATATGATTTACTTTTAAAATATGTTTTATGTTTATTGTTTGCTGCCTCTAGATTGTAAGCTTTTAGGGACAGGGATCTTTGTTTATTAGTTCATCCCAGTAGCCTAGAACAGTGCCTGGAATGCAGTGGCACCCAAAAAGTAATCATTGAATAGATGAATGAACCAATTAATAGTAACTACTTGTTTTTTTGTCTAAAGTTATTTACATGTTAGAAACATATGCATGATGCTCAGGTTCTAATTTTGTACAGAAATGGCTATTCATACAAAGTCGCAGTTGCCCTCTCTCTTTTTCTTGGATGGTTGGGAGCAGATCGATTTTACCTGGGATACCCTGCCTTGGGTAAGTATGTTTCATTGAAAAAAAAAATCTTGTGCAACTTTCATTGAATATTTGTATTCTTATGGATTAGCCTCTGCATGCTATTAATAGTTTCAAGTTTTGTAACTGTAGTTACTATTCGGTGATGAGTGTAGAGCTAGTTTGAGTAATACTGACTTCCTGTATTTTTGTCTTCATGAAAAAAAGCCTGCTCAAGATAGTGTAGGCACTAATTTTAGACAATAGATTTGAGATGCCATTGCTAGTACTGGGCACACAGTGTCTATTCCATGACTAATTTACTTTAAAAAATTGCCTATCCTTTCAAGGTATATTTTCCTTCTACTTTAACCTCTGTCACTGCTGCTTTGGGAGTAGAAACTGCTTTTTTTTAGGAGACATTGGGATCAGAACTATGGCAACCAGCATAAATCCATTGTGGAGCCTGACTTCTATTACCTTTAGCAAACTTCCCATACCTTCCTCCTGATTAATAATGATGGTAAATTTACCATGTCATGAAATTGTTATGAAAAGTGTTTACATTTGATGATGGCTTTGTTTAAACAATACTTTGACTTGCCTGCCCTTATTTCAGCCCTACAGCTCTTAGAGTTTTTCATCCTCTCTTTAAATCTTCTCAACTAGTAGAGAAATTATCCCCAGAGAGGGTAAGGGATTTACGAACTCTCCAAGCCTTGCTTTACTCTATGACATATTTGTTGTTGTCATCCTTGTTTTATGGCTAGGGAAATTGTCAAAAGATTAAGAGATTTACCCAAGAACACTCAGCTAGTGACCCAAATCTGAACCTAGATTTTTTGGCTCAAGAGATCATGTTTTATTTTCTGTGGTACTCTGGTTCTGTATTAGTCTTTTACTGAGCAAATTTAAAGTTTCTGAATGCTCTGCATTCCCACTAGCAAAACTAATCTTATTCTTTCCTTATTGCTATCTACCAGATGTCGAGGTGGAATCTTTACTATGGAATTGGTAGAAAGTATGTGTCTGACAGTCTTATCTGGAAGTCAGTCTTAAAAGGTCATAACTAGAAGTCAAAGTTTAAAATAATAGTTATATAAGCATATATGTATATGTATATACATATAATAATTTACATGTAATTATTTGTATGTCATTTATAATATTAGTATATAAATTTGTCCCATTAGGAAGCATGTATTAAATGATTACTACCTGATAAGTAAGTGCTCTGGAATAATGATGATCACAAATTGGGTGAAAGAAAATAAATGTTGGTGAAACAGTTTATAATATAGCACTACTACAAAACCATAACAAAGTGCTGAGAACACAGAAAATGAACTACTTTTGTTAGCTTTGGGGTGTGAGAGAATACCTCTTACAGGAGGTAACATTTGAGTTAGGTTTTGAAGGATGAACAAATTACAGAGTAGGACATTATAAGGAATAGCATGTGCAAAGGCACAAGTCATGAAAGAACATGTGTGTGTTAAGAGAATGGTAGAACATTTAGCCAATGGTAGACTATTTTGCCAATATGTAGACTGGATGATGTCAGATGATGACATCTGAGGTGGCTTGCGATCAGGCTTGGAGTGTTCTGCTGTGTAGTATGGACTTTATCAGGCTTGGAGTGTTTTGCTGTGTAGTAAGGACTTTACCCTTTGACCATCAGAAGCCATAAATGTTTGTAAGTTGAAGAGTATCATGGATATAATTATATTTCAGGAAGATGAAATTTGAGAATTGTGGGAAATGGCTTTAAATGGTTAACATGGTGATGTTAGAATATATCTAAAGCCTTCGATCTTAATCCTTGCATTTTTTTATGTTCGCTTTAGCAGGATGGTACTATATATACTTTTTAAGAAAGATTTCTAATATTAAAAAAATTGGGAGGCTTCATTGGTGGCCTAAACGTTAAGCTCAGCATTATCACTGCTATGGTCTGAGTTTAGTCCCCGGCCAGGGAGCTAATCCACATATGTAGCCTTAGCAGTGTATTTCAGTAAATCTGCCTGTTCTGCTCCTCTCTCTGTTTCTGGTGAATCCCCTCCTTTTGTCCTCCCCTGGCCCTCCAGCACCTATGATCTATACCCCTAGTCATCTACACAATAATGAATAAAAAATCTTATTAAAATTTTTTTTCAGAAGGGTAGGAGAGAAGGAGAAAGGCTTCTCTGGAATAATTTATTCTGTGATTATTTTGAATTGTAAATTTTTTTAATATATTTTAAATATTCAACTTAATGAATTACTTTTTTAGTTTCTGTAATATGTGTCAGATGAGCTGTCACATTGTGGTGTAAGTTAATGTTTTTGATTTGCTGCTACACATAATCTGTTAAATTTATTGCAAAATTTTCTCTCCTGAAGATTAAACCCTAGCTAATAAAGCTCTGTGTCTGTGTGTGATGATTGTTTAGTGAGTTCATGAAAGTTAGTTTCTATCAGCTTTGGTTAGAGAACCTTACTTTTTGAGGCTAAGGTTCCATAAACTTGCAAGTGTAATTTTTAACATCTGACTTCATGCTTCAATGAAAATTTTATTGTTTCTTTTTTTAAAGAAAACTATTAATCACAGAAACCTTTGATGTTTATTAATTCAACAAGTGTTTTGAGTGCCAGCTTACAACTTGCTCAAGGTTTATCTGTCACTTGTCATTTGTCTGCTTACAGCTTCTGAATTTTTGTTGTTATTGTGTTATCTCCCATTGTTATTTTATCAAGTTAAGTAAAAAAAAATCCTTTTACTGTGTTTCAGAGGGATTGTGGAGTGAGAGGAGCTAAGTGGTTATGTCAAATTCTCTTTAACTAAAAATTCTTTTTACCTCTTTAGGAATTCAGATTTTTTGTTTGTTTGTTTGTTTTTTAAAGATTTATTTGTGGCCCTCCCTGGTGGCACAGCCGGTTAAAGCACAGCACTGAGAAGCTAAAGCCGCTTCCGCATGAGTTCAATTCCCGCCTGCCCGGGAGGTGACCACATGGCATGGCAGACCTCTCCTGACCCGCCCACTGCTCCCCTCAGCAGTGTACTTCGTAGATCTGCCTGTTCTGCTCCCCACTCTGTCTCTGGTGAAGCCTCTCGCCGCCCCTGAGCCTCTGGCCTGTACCCCAGCTCTGTATGCACAAATAAATAAATCTTTAAAAAAACAAACAAAAAGATTTATTTGTGCATACAGAACTGGGGTCCAGGCCAGAGGTACAAGGGATTCTCCAGAGACAGAGTGGGGAGCAGAACAGGCCTACTGACGAAATGCACTGCTGAGGGGATCAGCGGGCTGTTCAGGAGCAGTCTGCCACACCATATGGATCACCTCCGGGGCAGGCGGGACTCGAACTCATGCTGATGTGGCTTTAGCTTCTTAGAGCTGTGCTTTAACCTACTGCCCATGGAGGGGCCAGGAATTCAGATTTTTTTTTATCTGAATATTTCTTGCATTTCAGTTATCTTAATATTAAATATTTTGGATTGTTCCCACAACTAATATTAATGTGCAAAATTATAATGCTTGTAAATTTTCCTAATAAGTGTTTTTTTTTTTTTTAAAGATTTATTTATTTATTCATACAGAACTGGGGTACAGGCCAGAGGCTCAGGGGCGGTGAGAGGCTTCACCAGAGACAGAGTGGGGAGCAGAACAGGCAGATGGACGAAGTACACTGCTGAGGGGAGCAGCGGGTGGGCCAGGAGAGGTCTGGCTCGCCATGTGGTCTCCTCCGGGGCAGGTGGCAGGCGGGAATCGAACTCATGCGGAAGTGGCTTCAGATTTTCAGTGCTGCGCTTTAACCCGCTGCGCCACCAGGGAGGGCCCCTAATAAGTGTTTTTAATTAAATGTTCACTAAGAATCCAAGGTTGAGGAATTTTTGGTATTTTTGGTATAATTGAAATTATTATGCTCACTTAAAAATTTTTTAACTAGGTCAGTTGATAAGAAAATAGTTGTAATAGAACTGAAAGTTCTGTTTTTTCTTATAATCTTATTCAGTCTTGGTTATGAAAAGCAGTGGTGATATCTATAGATTTAAAAAATATTTCCTTAATATTGATTATTTAGCAGCAGAGTATCCAGATTTTAATGAACTCATCTTTCTCTGAGTGTTAGTACATTACCAATAAGTTGCAAATAAGTGTATTTTATATCATTGCTTAACTGCTATTTTAATCATTGTTGTCTGCAAGTTTTCTCTTCTATTGTTAGATCTGACTTAATTGTGAGGAGGACAGTTCCACCTATTAGATGTTTAGATTGTTTCTAGATTTTTGGCATTCATACCACAAATATTTATCAAACTTTTACTGTTTGTCAGGTACTTTAGGTAACATTTAGTTGTTATAATAGAACCTAAAGTTCTATTTTAGGAAGACAGAGTGAATGAACCAAAGAATGAATGAGATGTTACAGATTTCCAATCAGTACTGTGTAGGAATTAAGGAAGATGAGATAGATTACTTAGGTTGTGATGGGTAGTGGCAGGCTGTCTTAGACAGGAAGATTAGGAAAACTTCTTAGAAGAAACTACAGGGAGAAAAAGGCGTGACGAAAACAAAGGCTCTGGCTTTTTTTTCTTCTTAGAGTAGCAAAGATAAATTTTGTGGGACCATTATTAATATAGTCTTTTTATAAACAGATTAAAGAAACTAATTTTCTAAATTTGCTCTAAAATTCTATGTGAAGAAGGGTACGTCTCACATTTAGAGCAGATAAACTTTCTTAAGCAACAATTATAATACACAATTAATGAAAAAATAATTAAGGAGTTATATAATGAATAAAAAGAGGGCTTTTAAAATGTAAAAAGATGGGGAGCTTTAGGAAACAGAGAAGCTGAGAAAATCTATTCATTCATTGAACAAACTACACTGAGCATTTTCTATGTCCAGGCACTGTATACTTTAAGAACCCAGGAGTAAACAGATACATGACCCTCTCCTGATAGGGCTTCCACCGGACAGATACCAAACAAATAAAAGATATTACATAAGTAATTAGTGTTTTGAAAAAAAAAAAAAACTAAACTAAAAGTACAATTTTATGCACTGTATATTTCAATAATTTTGAAATTACAAACATGTTATTCCAGCATTTACTACATTATTCGATTATGTATCTAACCCTAAGATTTAAAAAATATATGTAACTACATATATCAATCTTTTTTTAATGTATTTCCAAATTGTGTGCAGGAGGTGATCTCATCTACTCTTATGATTTTAGCTGGCATCTATTTGTAGTTGATACTTAAAACTACCCTTTCACGAAGAGCCTTGTTTTATATCATTTTTATATCTAAGTTGGGATGTCTGGAAAGCAACTCAAGTTTAAATATAGAACAGATTACTCATCCCACCTCCACCCCCAATCTGTTGCTTCTAATTTCATATTTTTGTGTTACATTGTCATATATGCCCTAGGTCCTTTGCTCAATCATCATATATGTTATTATCATAGCTCTAATGTTGGGGCCAAAGACTGGTAGATGCAGTTCAGAAACTGTTGATTTTTGTCTAGATTGTTAATAGACATGAGAGGCATAGAAAATGGTATAAAATACATTCAGGGTAACTGGGTCACAGATGAAATTTTACAATTTAACCTTAAAGTCACTGTTTGTTCCTGACTATTTTTCTATGGCTTGACATATTTATTTAAACTTTCTACTTTTTTTTTTTTTAAGATTTATTTATGCATACAAGAGCTGGTGGAGGCCTGAGGTACAGGAGTGGGGGGTATGTGTGTGTGAAAGGATTCACTAGAGACAAAATGGGGAGCAGATCTGTTGAATCTACTAAAATATAGTGCTAAGGTTTGCAGCAGGCATGACAGGGAGAGGTCTGCTGCAAAATGTGGGTTACCTCCTTGGCAGGGGATCGAATCATACTGCACTGTATTGTGATTTAACCTCTTGCGCCACCAGGGAGACCCCTACACTTTCTACTCTTGATGTATTTTAAAATTTGGATCACATGATGTATTAGACCTGAATAAATAAGGATTTTAAAACTATAAAGATATTTGTACCTCTGGGGTAATGAAATTTAAAGGTCTATTTCCATAGGCCTTTTCTCGTATTCTTGTAAGACGATTCCGAGTTTTAATTTCTGAGTTTTTCTTTTCTTATGTTTATTTGCTAAATAATTTTTTTTAAATAAATATATTTTGGGCAGCTTTTCAATATAGAAGATCCTTTAAACTTCACATTTTCAAGTGAATATTTAATAAAGCATTATATATTCTTGATAAAAAGAATTTATCATATATAGTGATTGTTGAAAAATGGAAAAATTTAATATTTATAAGACTTCCCAGGTTGTAAATGATTTTACCTTTTTTTTTTTCTAGGTTTGTTAAAGTTTTGCACTGTAGGGTTTTGTGGAATTGGGAGCCTAATTGATTTCATTCTTATTTCAATGCAGGTAAGTTACTTTCAGTCTAGGAGGTGAACTACTTTTACATTCAAACTTGAGTTTTGTGATCTTCTCCTGGTATATTTTTAAAATATTACAAGCAATCAGGAATGTTTTTTCTTTTTTTTCTTCAACTGCTAGATTTAAGAGACTATAGCTCATTTTCTGGTAGCATTCACAGCCTGTGTTCTGCAGGATTAATAGTTCTAAAAGATATAACATCAAAAGGATGCCATCCTTAAATATGATTTGTCAATGTAAGTTCAATTGAGTTAAAGATACTTTTTTATTGGATAACTTCAGAGTTTTCATAATATAAGCTGTGAATCACTAGCAGGAATTGAGCTGCTCAAATCATTTTTTTTCCTGATAGTCACAACCACTTTATCAGTTACTATTATAGGACATTGATGGAAATCTGATATTTACATATTATATATATATATGTTGTATGTATGTATTATAACAAAGAAACAAGATTTTCTTTTACACTGAACTGGTGCTGTAGTAGAATACTAGTAGTATTTTCTTGATTCCAAGTTTTTGAAACCGAAATCAGCTCAAGCCAAAAAGAAAAATGGAATGTCTATCACTCTAGAAAATTTAGGAGTGGGGCTGCCCTCAAGCAGGACCAAATCCATATAGCCAAATGATGTCCTGGATTCTCCTGATAATTCATCTTTGTTCTATGTGTTAGTTTCATTTTCTCCTGCTGGGGTGGGTGTGGAAGCAGGCATAATTTGTAAAATACTATCCTTGAACATGTAAAAGTGCCTCCAGAGGTTTTCTATTAAATTATACTGAAATATGGTTAGTTAATGAGGATTCTTAGAAAAAAGGATTAATTTACCACAACAAATATCATCACATAGCATTTCAGTAAGCATTTATGGAGCATCTACTGTCTTTAGTATGTGTGTTAGTATGTATTCAGATCATCAGTTTTGCTCTTCTTTCTCTTACAGTATTTCTACTCAGTTCTGTCTGCTTGATGTTATCCTTAAACTTTAAAAGAAAGTCATAATCTAGGAGATTTTTGGTACCATACTGTGAGGAGGAGGCAGCATATGGACCAATAAGATACCAGAATTAAACAAGGAAAATATTTGCTTTTAAAGTTGGAATTTTTCTGTCTTTATTCATAAACATATGCCTAACCAAATACCATGCCTTCCCTGACTGTGGGGCAGACATGCAGGCGTGAAGAGGCTAAGGTACTTGTGCGCATATGCTTGGAAATGGGTTTCTCGCTTTAAGTGAAGATCCAAGGAATTTAATGTATTACTGAGTTTCTTTAATATGTTTCTTTAATAATTAAACGTCTTCGACACCCAGCCATCTTTTTAATGTTTTTACGCTGGTTCTTTCTTTGGTGATACAATTGCTTTGTAGCTATAATTATGTAAAATTATAGACTGATTTGATTCAGCCATTGCTTCCTGGTTAATCTATGTCTCAACTTTGCACAACACAGTGTTCTTTTTGTAAAGATGTGGAATTGACACTATCACATTAAGAAATTATCAAGGTAGAATTAGAAGGTTTGAATTTGTGCAGTGAATTTTCCTAAATGAAGCATTTTAATAGATAAGGCCACTTTAAACTCCTTTCAAATTTTTAGAGGTAGTGAAATAAGATGTGTAGGCTTATTTTATACATTGTTTAACATCTTTAATATGTAACGTTGATTATGTAGTTTTAGAAGAAAAAAAATTTTTTCAGATCAGGTAAACTTGTACTGTAAGTATATAAAGTTTGGTAATATTTTTCCCATATATATTTTTCCAGTTTCTCATACATCTTTTATATTATGTCTACCATTTTTTATTCTTTCTATCTTTATTGTTCCCATCTCTGATTTTTTTTTTTTTATTCCCTTTAAATATTACTCCCCAGTGAATTAGCAGTGCCCTTCCTTTGGACTGTAATCGCAGAAACATTATGCATGAACTCAAGACCTATAAAAAAATACTTTGCTTCACAGTGCTTATAACAAAAATCCAGGAAAATTCTCTTTATCTTTGAACTATATATATATAGCATATATATTGCTAAAGTAAAGTAAGTAAACTACTGAAGATTGTTTTATGAGTTTACATACTTGTTCATAAACTTCTTAAATTTCTTAAAAGATACAAGTAATATAAATGGTGAATATTATGAAACAATACATAGCATTAATACAGTTATTTTGTGCATTATATTTTTAATACATTATGAAAGATGAATTAGACAACTTAAGTTTTTTTATCAGAAAAAATATAGCTTTGTTTACACTTAAAACTCTTTTCACTGTACATTTTTAATTATACCAAAACCACTGATGTGTATGCTGTCAAACCAAGGAAAAGAAAGTTTCTTCTGTTAAGTGAAAAGACAGCCACAAATCAGAAAGATGAGGATACGTCAGGAGAAATGGGAATGAGTTGGAAAGTAGAAAGTTACTAGAATGAAGTTTATTTCGGGGTTCTTTGTTGAAAGTTTAAAATTCTATACAACATGGAAGAAATTACTTCCACTCCCATTCCATTAACTTACAAAGTAGATTTTCTTAAAGTGCTAATAATTACACAGTCAGCAGAAAATCACAGAAACAACAAAATTTCCTACACATGAGTTTTATAAACTTATCTGATTTATAGGATTTCATTAATTTGACACTTAATGTTACTCATCACTGGATCATATACTGTTGTGATTATTTTCTAGCTTTTTTTTTTAACTTCTACACACCAGGTTTGACTTTTCATACATAAATTTCTTAAGAAAAAAAGACTTTCCTTATTTCCCTGTAGCACTATGAGGATCCTAGCCATAGAGTAAACTTTTGCTGATTTGAATTGAGTGCCAGTGGAAAAGTGTGGCTTTGATTTTATCTTGTTTAAATTCTTTGAATTTCCCTAAAGCTTTTAAAATCCATGCGTTCAGTTTAGAGCATAAATAAGGCTCAGGTTATCAGTTCTCTTCGTGTGTGCTTTGTTAAAGACAGAGCATATACCCGAGCCCTGGTAAATATATGCTTTTGATCAAAACAAGGTCTAAACATGTAGTTATCCTAAGTCTGTTACCAGTACTAGAAAAGTTCGTTAGAGTTAACGATAGTTCATTAGATGCAGGGCAGTGATATATAAAAACTAATAGACATTTTGTAGATATTTAGTTGTTCTGTATTCTTAACACTTGTGACTTATTAAGGAAATAAACTTGAAAACTGAGAATACCAATAGTGTGAGAAGCATCTATTCTGTCATGTGACCTTAATTAGCTAGATTTTACTTAGCCGGTGGTTAGATTTTTAGTTTAAACTAAGGGAATGTTCAAAGAAACTAAGACTAGCTTAAACTGGTTCTGAAACTAATTTCGTAACTGTGTTTTTCTCAGGAGATATAATGGTGAATACTACCATTTTTTAAGCAGTGGTGTTTATATTTCCTATACATATCTTATTTTTTTTTAAAGATTTATTTATTTATGCATATAGAGCTGGGGTACAGGCAAGAGGTGCAGGGGCAGTGAGAGGATTCACCAGAGACAGAGTGGGGAGCAGAACAGGCAGACTGAACGAGTACACTGCCAAGGGGAGCAGCTGGTGGGTCACCTTGGGGGGCAGGGGTCGAACTCATGTTAAAGTGGCTTTAGCTTCTCAGTGCTATGCTTTAATCCACAGCACCACTAGGGGAGACCCTCATATATATCTTCTTAAGGGCAGATAAGCTCCCCACTGAATTTGCCTCCGTTAGTGACTAGCCAGAATTTCATTACATGCCCAGACAGAATTGATCTCTGGAAAAAGGGTTGGAGTTGCTGTGATAGAACACTAGTTTCTGTAGCACCAGAATTACATACTTTGAAGGGAAAGAAATGTTCTAATAAGACTTGCTAAATTCGATATGAAATTGGATGACATATAACCAAGAAATAACACCAATCTTTGGAACTGTCTTCTCTAACTGATGGGAGAAACAAACCAAAATAACATTCTACAGGTTAACCACTGACGATAAGCTTGTAAAGCATCTGTGCACTAACCAGGTTTTAGTCCAATAGTTAAATGTTTTGAGAGTCAAATAAGTCGCAGGTGGACTACTAGAAAATGGGATGATATTAAAAGGCTATCCAATCATGTATTTACCTTTTCAATTTCTGACTACTTTTTCTCAACAAAAGTAAATGAAATTGTCAGGGGAGATGGCATAATATAAAAAGAAAAGATAATAGAACAAAGATTCAGTTCAAATTTTTGTATATAATCCAAATTTGGAGATTTGGTTTAACCATATGATTTGATATACTCCTGTCTGGGAAAACTTTTTTGATTAATCATCCAGTTGCTAAACATAACTTCTAGTCATGATGCTTGATAATAGTGTTCTTCAGACTTTGGTGACATAACCCCTAAAATAATGTTGTACAAACATCCTACCCTCTTCATGTTTTCAAGTTGCTATTTAAGTGTTCTATCATAAAGTTAAATAGTTGCAAAGGATATGATTTCTACTTTGCAAATATTGACATATTTAACTGAAACTTTTATATCAATTTTAAAACATATCTGGCCCTCCCTGGTGGCGCTGCGGATTAAAGCACAGCACTAAGAAGCTAAAGCCACTTCAGCCTGAGTTCGATCCCTGCCCAGGAAGTGATCGACATGGAGCGGCAGACATCTCCTGACCTGTCCGCTGCTCCCCTTAGCAGTATACTTTGTCAGTCAGCCTATTCTGCTCCCCACTCTGTCTCTAGTGAATCCTCTCACTGCCCCTGCATCTCTGGCCTTTACCCCAGTTCTGTATGTATGTATAAATAAATCTTTTTTTAAAAATCTAACAATATAAATACCCTAGCATATTGAATGTCATTTACTTTAAAAAGACATGAATGAACCCTTCACTAACCATTATAATTTTACATTGTTTTTCTCATTGAATTTTTATTTCTGTTCTTGGGTAGAATTTGATCCTAGTACATAATGCACTTTTATATTGAAGTACTCGATTGATCATCTTATTAAATTTTTAAATTGTATAATTTCTGGATTGTCATTATACTTATTATGACATGTAATCCATCAAAACAGCATAAACACGTTGCAAATTATTTTTTTTAAATACTAGAAATGCATTTTTTGAACACGATATGGCAGAGCATTTTATTTTGAACTTTTTATTAAAGGAGACTTCCCTAGTCCCATATTCTCAAGTACCCCATTTGTATCACATTAGAAGTTTTTACACTGAAAGGCAGTGTGCCATCATAAGACTTGGACTATGCTCTGATGGAAGTGTTCTTTACTGTTCAAATTAGAGAAAGATACACAGTGAAAGGGAAGTGGAATGAGAAACTAGCATAATACGCCCAGCCTAGCATGGCATTAAGCAGATCATTTTAACAAAGAGTGTTTTAGGAATTAAAGATCTCAAAATTGGTTTCCTTAAAACTCGAGGCCCACATACAAGTTAGTAAATCTTTGTGTACCCTTAAGGCCATAATTTGAACATTGCTACTTTCAAAGGATAATTTGTAGAGATTTCTATTAAGTAGATTGTCACAAATGTGATAAGTGGACAAGGTGATTGTAGATTATTTTCCTCTATCTTTTCCATTCCATGCCAGTTCACATACCTCATCTCTTGTAGGGAGATTGGCCTGGCCAGTCATTTTAATCCTGTAATTTGTCCAGCGATGGGCATTAAAAATCAGGCATGCCAATCAGTGACTTCCTCTGGAATATATATTTACAAAGGAAATTTTATTTTCTTTCTACTGGCTGTGGAGGTGGAAAGATGAGAATCTTCACCTGTTGGTAACTAATTAGGGACACATATCTGCAAAATGTAGGAACCAGTGTCAAGCAAGGAAGGAGGGAGGCCAGATGAAAGATCTTATCGGCACAAAGTTCTAGCCTAGTTCTAGCCTTTGCAGCCTTGGCTCCTATAACTCTTTCTATCCTCTTCACCTGCATAAGCCACTAAGTTATTTCTTTGTTTGCATTAATTTTGAATTACATTTTTATTACTATTTAATTGTATTAATAATCGAGAAAGGTAAACTCAAAGGATTATGAAAGTATCTTTTGTAAAATGAGTAATTTTGAATGTGTTCTCTTCTAGATTGTCGGCCCTTCAGATGGGAGTAGTTACATTATAGATTACTATGGAACCAGACTTACAAGACTGAGTATTACTAATGAGACCTTTAGAAAAACACAGTTATATCCATAAATATTTTTAAAAGAAACAGTAAGTAATATGGATATCTAATCTTATATTTTCTGTAGAAGTGTATTATCTGAGAATTTTTGGACCACAGGAAATTAAAAAGATCATCTTATCTTGTAAACCTTTTAGTCTAATCTTTGTAAAGCATTTTTATGTGTACTCATTGCTGCAGCAATTCTCAGTTCATACTCTTACTGGCAGTGAATATGACTAAAGGACAAAGAAAAATAACATCAGAGCAAAAAGATTATTCCATAGTACTATAAAAATAGGTGTTGTGTAGATAGTTCAGCACAGCAGTTTGTCTGCTGTCCACCATCCTAGGATCTCTCTGATCCTTAAACCTGTTTCTTTTTGTCTGCTACCCTAAAACTGACAGTTGATGAAACCTTAACCTTGTATTAAAATGAGTACTTTTTCTAATCTGAAGTTTGGCCTTGCCCATGAAATGACTAATTGGTCACAACTTTAAGTAGGTGAGACACCTGAAGACATCAGAGATCCTGCCACTGTTTCTGTTCTACTCCCTTGCTCTCCAGGATTCTAGTACTGCAGGTTTTATTTTCATAACTGTACATTAGTCTATTCTAGTAAATAATCTTCCAATGCTAGATTTCTCAGAATTTTGGTGGAACATCAGGAAAACAATTATTTGTTGTAAACCTTTATGTGAAATGCAAATGTCCTTTATAGCATGTAGGATACATGGTACTTTTAGGTGGTAGTTCACTTTGATCAATGAAAGAGCTTTCAGAGAGAGGAGGCTGAGAACAGGATTTCTAGATGTTTTGATCACAGTGATAGTACTAAGGTTTGAATTGATTATTTCAGAGAGTGCTTCTATAGGTTAGGAAGGGAATAAATGTTTATTTTCTGTTTTCTGTGTTCTGTATTTCTGTATGTAAGTAGGATATGAAGTATACTTTTGCCTATAAAGTAGGTTTTTTACCTTGTAAAATTATTAGATGTACTTTATATTTATTGTCATATGAATTAAACAGGTCAGTTCTGAGTAATTTATTCAGCTGCCCAAAGAGATTCAGGTTTTTTCTTAAAAAGTGAGAGTTTATGGGTTTAAAATTGGAATGAGGCTTAAAGATCCATGCCTCTTCTTAACAGGGAATAAATTCAGGCCTAAAGAAGTAGAAATCAAACACACACAACTAATTCATACAAACCTGATCTAAAATCTAGGTTTTCTATGTATTCTACTGCTTGTTTTTCATCTCTCCCACCCCTTACCCACCAGCTCTGTCATTTTGCATCAAATACCTTCATTTTGGAAATTGTTACTCTTGTTTTATGAGAAGGTTTATGCAGTTTCACATAACCTTATTTTCTTACTGTAAATTGTGTTTTTTTCAAAAGCACATAGGTGGTTTGAAAACCATAGTGTGTAAAAATAAGAAGATGCAATTTAAAAAGCAATTCCATTCTCTATAGCCTATTACATAAACGTTTAATTGGGATTCTAGGCTGCGATTTGAAATTTAAAACTTGAAGGACCCATTGAGAAGACAGATCTCTGCATTATCATGTATGTGATCTCTCTAAGTCCATTTAGAAATACTCTAGGAGTTTAAGGGAAAAAGTCTTATGTAAATTAAGCATTAAACTGCATCTATAATAACCTCATTGGACTTTTAAAGAATACTTTGTTTTAATGTAGTTTTCTTTTCTATTTTAGGATTTGGACCTCTTTGAGTTAGAGAACTTTCAGTATGTGGAATTCCAGATTTTCCTTTATCCTTCTTTTCATACCACTTTGTGGACTTTGTATGATTTTGTGTGTGCGTTGACATTTTTTTGTGTTTTAGTTAAAATATATTATTTGAGATTTATTTAACATGACTTTCTTTGAGAGCTGTGTGATTATAGAGTCTTTCTTACATTACTGTCTCTATGAGACAGATAGCTTATTACCCTGGTAGTCTTTAAAGTCTTTTCCAAAGGCAAGTTCCCACTTGTCATTTTCTCATCTAAAAAATAAAAGTATGACTTCTTCACATTTTTAGTGCTTTATTATTAAGAAAACCTCACATGTTGTATATAGCCATCTTCTGCTTTTTTGATCCTTCAAAGTAGTTAATCCATGGTGTGAACAAATACCATTTATATTGCCTAGGGCTAGTTTTGTGTATAACAACCCACCTGTTTTTCTGCAGCTTTCAGATCTGTCTTTACTTGGTATCCAGGGAGCTAAAGATCATCAGGGAGTCTGAAACCTTGAGGCAACATGGATACTTCTGGCATTGATCCAGGCCTCTGAAGTGTGAACTTTTTCCTTTCACTTTGGGAGTGATGCACTGGCTCTTGGAAGAGCAGATGCTGACTCATCTGGCTCAATGCAGTTATATTTGAAGCTGAATGGACAAGGTGGGAACACCAAGCAGATGATAAATGTCTTCCATCTGTTAGCGCTGCCAGGCAGATGCCGGCACAAGTTCCTTAAGGATGTACCAGTGTCTGAAGGAAGCAGCACCTGTGTGTTAGCATTGGAGGTTCTCACTGAATGTAGAGGATTTTAAGATGGAAATATCTGAAAATGTATCATGCTATTATGTGCTTTCTTTAGTAAAAAGTTACCAATTTCAAGAGTTACAGGGGTCTGAATTCCTTAGGAATAAAAATCGTAATTTTTTTATCACTCATTTTACTCAAAAGTGTATATATAGTACAGTTAGCTTCATAGTATGTTATTCAATAACAGTTTCTCCAGTTGGTAGACGATTATTAAGGAATGGTTTATAAAGTGAATTTGGGTTAACTCCTAATGTACACCTGGAATGGTGTCTTTGATTCATCCATTCATTAAAATAATGAGTGTCTATCATGTGAAAGCACCAAGCTGGATGCTTAAAGTGCTGCAGTGAATGAAATGTAAGTCTCTTTCCACAGTCACATAGCTTCAGTTATCAAATCCTTGTAGTCAAATCTTGCAAACTTAATCTTGCTACTTATACAGCTGCTACCATTATTAATTTGGCCAGGTGGGAAGACTGTTTCCAAGCAGGTGCTTCTCAGAGTATTTAAACAAATAAGCTGTACTCCCAAAGAGTTGTTAAAATCAGTAAAGTTCCTTCACAATAATCGTAACCCTTCAGCCCTTATATCTACTATTATATGCTGAATTTACTTGAGAAGAACATTCGATCGCCTAATTCCCTGTTGCCAATATATATGATTCTTTGACATGGTTTATCTGTGTATTTATTTTTTATGTGAATGCATTTAATGCATATGAATAAAGGTTGGTATTTGTTTTGTTTTTGACTTTTATGGCACACTTACACTGTTTCACTGTGGCTATAGTAGTAGTACATGTAAGTGAAATACGAGTTAATACCACTGCATGAGATGTGCTATATGATAATCCTGCTTTTGGAGCAGTGGCCGAAATTGTGAGATGGATTAACTCAGTGACTCCTTGGGTTACTCTGAAACCCTCTAGGGTAGAATGGAATGGATTCTTTCAATCCTAAAGAAAGTGTTTCTATAGAAACATTTACAAATGGTCCTTTAGCCTGAAAGGATTAATACAATTTCCAGAAGTACCTCATTACCCAGGAAGATTCTTACCTACACTGTATTAAACTAAAGAATCTATTTAAGATTTCAAAGATTATGTTAGGTGTACAGTTGCATTTTTTCATGGGACTGCTAGAACTATAAGAAATACTAGTTTTGGGGTATATCTTGTATTACCAAAAATATTGTCTTTTCATGTTCACCTATATGCTTATGGGTAAGTTAAGTGTTAACTGATACTAACTACTGAGAAGTAACTAGGAAACTAAAGTAGATATAATAGCAAGAAACTAGCAGAAGGAAAGTTCTTAAAAAGTCCAAGTCTAAGATAGTGGTTTTTCTTCCTTTTTCAAATCCTCTAAATATAGTTATTCTGTAGGTTCTGACACCTTCCCTTTCTCTCATTCAAACAATCCCCACTGTGCATTTTTCTATTTACAAAACTGAAACAAGCTTAAATTCAGAATTTTAGGGGAAACACCAAAATGTACAAAAGAGGAATTCATTCCACAGCCCAATACTAACATTTTCATGTGTTTCCTAGTAGGGTTTCCATGCATGTTTGTACATTTTTTTCAACACCAAAATGATACCATACTGTTTTATAGCCTGCTCCTTCTCATTGTAAAGATTTTTCTATTTCAATAAATATTCTTTTATAAAATAATTTTTAATGACTACAGAGTACTCCATGTCTGTTTCACAATGTATGCAGTTCCTTCCTGTTTGGTATTGAGGTTATTCCAGTGATTTGACTAATGTATATTTCTGTTCTTTTCCTCCAATTGCTAATTTTAAGTTTTCCATCGATTCATACAACTCACCTTTCAGTTATCCTGGTGCAAATTAACTGGATAAATCACTATGGTGACCTGTAACTTCTAGTTTGGTCTGCAGTCAGGCCACCGTGTGTTAGTGTTGATTACTGCCTCTTACATCCGAGAGACTGGAGAAGAGCAAACTTAAATAACAGAATAGCTGCTTGTTATGCGTATAGGAAGATGTAACAATTCTATGTTTGGCACAGGTGTCAAAATAATCCACTGAATTTATCTATTTGCCCTCTAGAAAGCTTCAAGATAAAGTCTTATAAGAGTAAGTAAGAAACTTACTCTTAATGGTCTTGTCATGTGCTGAGGGGATGGGAGAGAGATAAGTTTGGAAAACAAGCAAAGTTGTTGATTAGGAATGAATTAAAGAATTCTGAATAGCATTGACTACCCAAATAAAGTACAATATCTTAATTATTGGTAAATATAGCAGTGTGCTTTTTATTTTTTTGCCATTTCAAAGGAATTGTTTAATTCCAGTGAATTCAGGACAGAACAAAGCCTGAAGGCAAGCACTCTATAGCAGGATTCTTGACTGGGTTTACTCTGACCTCACAGCTAAGATAAAGGCTGAGTGAGAAAAAGTAAAGAGAAAGTGAATGAGCATACGATTTTTTTTTTTTAATTTCTTCAATGTACAGCAGTCTTCAAGAGACTTCATTCTAGCTATTTGTAACCTATGGCAGGGATCCAGCTGTTTAAACAGGAGTGGAATTAAGGATCACTATTGCCTCAGGCTTAAGAAACAGCTTACTTTTTGCCAGATTTCTTAATTCCACCTGTGGCCAAGGTACCTTCTGTCCCCAGCCCCCAACCCCTACAGCCTTCACTTTTATCTCTTGCAGTTTCTTTGGCTCCCCTGTTTCTGCTTGATAAAGCTTTATCTTACTAGTCAATCTCCTTGGGCAGCATCAGGGGCTTCCTGCCACCTCTGAAGCTACAAAGGGCACCTTTCCTCCCATTTCCCAAACTCATCAGAATCTCTTGTGTCATGCTTTTAAAGCTAAGTCATTGTCTGATGGGGCAAGAAAGTTACTTTCATGGAAAGCAAGATCATTAAAATATAAAAGAAATTAAGGCTTGAAATCAAAGGTTTAAGATATTAATGATTTAACCTTTATAATTTTCCATAAAATCTTCCCTAAGAGTCAATATCATTATCCCCATTTCACAAATAAGTAAATTGAGTCCCACAGAGTTTGAGTGACTAGCCCAATGTCATGAAATAAATGGTGAAGCCAAGGTTTAAGCCCAGTATATTGAAATTCTTAAGAACCCTGCTATACTGCCTGCGATATGGTGGTCATACCGTCTAATTTTCTGAAATAGACTGCCAACGATTGTGTAATTAGAGGTCTCTTAATATGTTGGCACTGTTTTCAGTAAAAACGGAATCATTTATCCATACTGAGCTATTTTGCTTGTTTGCTTATTTAAAAATGTGTAATTGTTCAGACTTTAGTTTCTATCACGAAATGTCAAAATGTCTTATGCATGTCAGAATAAAACGATGATAGAGCAGTAATTATTGTCCAAAACCCCCCAAAAAAAGTTTTTGTTTTTTGCTACTGCACCTTCTGATTTTACAGCATGTTCTAGACCAAATGACAGGCCAAGAAAACTTGGGGTTTATGTTTATATGACAAGGGGAAAGACATTAGGTAGGATCATACTGTCAAGTCCCAATTAGACTCTGAAATTGAATGAACTAGAGACCTCTGTAGGTGGCAGAATTGTAGGTGATGTTTGTTTAGGTTACCCTCTGACATACTGAACTTTCTAATTTTTCCACAGTAAGTGTGCATTACTTGTATATATGAATTTGACAAAATAGTTGTACAGGTAAACTAGAACAAAGAACCTAAGGAAATACTGTTCTTTGCTCTTCCTTTTTCCCTCAAGATATATTTTGATATCTGATATGATTCTGATTTTGAGGAGTATTTTATCATGATTTTAAATGGTAAAAATATTTAAAATTGAAGGCAAATATAATACCTGCTATTAAAAGTTGACATTCAAACAGTACAGTTTGATGGGAAAAATTGATTGGAATCGAACAGGCCTAAGCCCCTCCTGTCTGTCACTTGTTTTGTGACTGAGCATGCAACAGGTCTGAGCCCCTCTGTCTTCATTATAGAGATAATATCAAGCAGGTAATGTTCAGAGACTGAAATGGCACAGGTAATAGTCACTATTTGTTGAACATTTTAAAGGAAAACATCAAGAGCATTGGTATTGGTAAGTTTCATCTAGAATTTGCAAGGGGTTCCTCACACTTAGACTAGAGTGTCATTATACTTTGAGTAAAATTATTAGCAGACTCAAGATTTCCTTTTACAAAAGGAAGGTAAAGTGGCTTTGATCACTGTTTACCATTATTTTTCTTATCTTTATTATCTTTAGCCTTATCTTTAGCTACTTAGTGAAATAAGAGCCCAGAATATCTCTTCTTAAAATACTAGTCTTATTGGCACTTTCATGCTTTAAAGGTACTCCTTAAGCAAGGCAAGACACAATCTTGCAGATTTTGTTTTTGCTGCTTTTAATCTACAATTTTCTGAAGCTATTTGTCTAATAAATGTAGAAAACGTTGCTATGAGGCAGCTGATCAGTCTTTCAGTCTAAATTAAGGTTAATTACAAGCAATCACTATGCACACAACAGAATGTTGCTTTTAACCTGTCAATTTTATCAGAATATGCCAACCATGCAAAGATTAAAACTTGAAAAATGATTAAAGCCAAAGCTATTTGGACTGTATATGCCAAAGAAAAACATTGTTTTACCAGAACACTTGAGAAAGTGTGGTATCTGCAAATTTTAATGGTGAGCTAATTTTATACGTAAGAGAATATGATTATAAAGTTTCAAGGTCCCATTCTTGCTATTCAGACAAACCGCAAAATTTGACTTTTATTTCAATGAATCACAAAATTCATGATTGTAAGATAAACATTGGCTAGAACGACATTCTTACTTGATTTGTGATTGAGGGCAAACTTGGAATAAAGCAGTCTGAGACATGACAATTAAGTACAAGCTTTTTAAGAGGTATTCAAAAGAAGTTATTCATGCCCAACTATTTACTGACACCTACTATGTACCCCTCTTCTCTTGCCCTCCTATAATAAATTCTCCAACAGCAGCCACAGTGATCAAAGTAAATTAGAACCGGTCACTTTTCTGCCAATTATCCAGTTACTTCTTGTCATGTTTTAGATATATCGAATTGGTTCCACCTCAAAATTTTGTTTGCATTCTCCTACTTTACTCAACATGATCCTTTCATGCTACACAACAGCGTATAAACACATCATCTAAAATGTTACACCGAAAATTCAAAACAATTTCTAGTACTCACTATACAATAAAAGCCAACAATTTTTTAAAAAGCAGTGTCCATTTTGCTAAATTAATCTGCAAGACCACCATGAAATAGCAACAGGTGGTCTGTAATGAGCTTGCTGAGCAGCTCTAAATTACAACTCAAGATTCTTCCACTGATCTTTGTCTAGAATGTTGTTTCCTAAGTTTCCTCATTCAGAAATCTGTTCAGATGTCATCCTTGCTGAGACACTGTCTCTGTCCTCCACTGCTCATGGTCTGAGTCTTCATCTGCTCCTCCTCTCCTCACAGCCTTACTGCTACTTGAGGCTATAGATGTGCATTTCCCTTAGTTTCTTTTCCTACAATGTAAGCTTAGGGAGGGCAGGAACTTTGTTTTGGTTAATGCTGTGACCTGAGTGCTGAGAACAGTGCTGAAACACATGGATGCTCAAAAATATTTTTATATTTCCCCATAGTGAATGAGAACACTAAAAAGGGTTAATAGAAGCATGGATTAATTTAGACAGTTTACATATAGGTATGTGAAATGTATCCAAATTATTCTTTTCTCCAGGGGTTGTGGGAGCCTATATTCTATGCTGATTTAGTCAAGTTGTTGATGTTATCAGTGCCCAGTATGGCATAAAAATTCTTACTTTGGACGGCCCTCTCTGGTGGTGCTCCGGGTTAGGACACAGCACTGCAAGCTGGCCACAGTGGCTTCAGGGCAAGTTCTATCCCCTGCCACGGAGATGACATAGCAGACCTCTCCTGACTCGCCCACTGCTCCCCTCAGCAGTGTACTTCATCAGTCAGCCTGTTCTGCTCCCCACTTTGTCTCTGGTGAAGCCTCTCAGCCCCTGCACCTCTGGCTTGTACCCCACTTCTGTATGAATAAATAAATCTTTAAAAAAAATTCTTACTTTGGAAAGCTGATAACCAGAAGTGATTCTCGAAAAACTATCAACACCTTATTAGAAATAATGAGAAAGGTAGGGAGAGACTAAATCAGCTCATACGTGTCATACATGATATTTTTATCATGTGCCCTATGTTCTTTTCTGACCTAATTGTGAGATAGGGCAACTAGCATCCCTCCCAGTGATAATGCTCTTTATGCTATTAATAAAGATTGTTACTCTTCAAGTTGTTAAAGAGTGTCAGGGAGGAGGGGGAAATTCCCCCCAAGCCCTCAGGGTTTCTGGGGCTGTTCAAAGAATCAAATTTCAAATTGGACAAAACAAATTTAATTACATACATGGATGTAAATTCCAAAGATGATGAGGTAAAAATACAAGTCTGATCTGAGGAAGGAGATAAGATTGTGGGATTTCAAGGAGTAAGAAGGGAGACTCACATGACTCACATGATAAAATGACACATACAAAGACTAGATACTCCTAATTAGTCATTTACTCTGTCCTATGGATAGGTTTTTTTAAAGATTTATTTATTTATGCATACAGAACTGAGATAGAGGCCAGAGGTGCAGGGGTGTTGAGAGGATTCACCAGAGACAGAATAGGGAGCAGAACAGACCCACTGACAAGTACACTGCTGAGGGAAACAGCCGGTTGGTCAGTAGAGGTTTGCTGCTATGTGGGTCACCTCAGGGCAGGGATGGAACTTATGCTGAAGTGGCTTTAGCTTCTTAGTGCTGTGCTTTAACCCATTGTGCCACCAGGGAGGGCCCGAGATAAGGTTTTTCAGATAGAAAAGTTATCTGTTAATAATTTCAATTTTGTGTAAGGCCCCCATTTTTCTTGTAGTTAGTCAAGAGAGTAGTAAAACTTCCTCCTCAGCCTACATCATCTTAACTGACTTCACTTTAAAATAATCTACATCCCAATATGATTAATCTTGGGAGGGAGATCTGTCCTTCAATAGTAAGCATCAACTTTGTTCTCCTCATCTGAACTCAGGTTAATTTCTAATTCAACTTTTCACTATCTCCCATCCAATCATTGGTTTCTACTAGTGACTATATAGGGTACTGCTTAAGTTCATGAACCTTAGGATCAGTCAAACTTACTATTTATTGTAGACAACTTTATGAATC